AAGGATCTCCCCAGATCCCTGCATCCAACCCTTGCACACAGCTGCAAGGAATAAAATCAGAGATACCAAGAACAGCCTAAATCAGGCCACAGGTAAAAGCAGGGGAGAGGAGGCACTGCCAGGGCCCTGTCATTGCTGCAACAGCAGTTCATATACGCTGATCTGCAGGAAAGGACCATGCCCCATGTTACGGAGGATTGAGGAAACCCCCCAAGTCCTGGCCAGTCTGACCTAGGGGGAATTTCTTCCTGGCCCAGATTTGATGACTGAGCAGATGAGCGAGACCCAGGCTCTTTGGAGCTGTGGACCCAACTGTGATCTGATGGAGCCAGCATGAACGTGGTGCGACGCCTCGGTTGTTAGCAGAGGTTTGCAGGAGCGAAACCAAGAGAAGATGAGCCACAAGTCCAGGCCGCTGTGCATCAGTTTCTTGATAAGTGAGGAGAGCATGAGCAAAGCAAGTTGCTAGAAGGGATGTTGGTGAGAAACCAGGAGCCCCTGTGTTGGACCCAGGTCTCTTCCAGCTGGATCCCTTTCTTTCTGTCTTAGCAGCCCCGGCTTGGAAAGGACCTCGCGGGTCATCTAGTGCAACCCTCTGCACAGAAGCAGGAGTCAGTGCAGACAGATCCCTATCTAGAGCTTCTTCCCAAAACCCTCCAGCAAAAGAGGGTCACCACCTCCCTGGGGAGCTTCTTCCTCTGTCCCCCTGTTCTTGATGTGAAAAGGCTTTTTCTGATCAAAGTTGGGTTTGGTGGACCTTAGGATGACACTTCCAGCCAGAAACCAGGATGCTCAGGGAAGGGGGAGAGACGATTGGTGCCTCAGATGGCTCAGCAATGCTGACTCCTGTCTTCTCGCGTCTGCAAGTGACCGAGTCGCAGTGCAAGAAGTAGGTTGAAAGTGTGTGATAGCAGGCAATAACACCAGGGGTGCCTGTCCCTATCCTTGGTGGTTATGTGTGGTGAGGTTCCTTGCCCAGGCGTGTCACTGTGTCAGCTCGCAATCAGCACTGTTTATTAGGCGGAGATCGAGCTGGTGGCCTGTGTCGTGCTGGAGAGGTTGCTCAAGATCTGACAGTCCTGCTTCAGGAAACAATGGAGAGATGAGGAGAGGTCAGGTGGGAGGCTGGATGCAAGCAGGACCTTGGGAGAGAGCAATGTGGGCAGGCTGTGTGAATGAGCTGGTCTCTAAAGAGGCAGTGGATGGAGAAAAGCTTGACTCGTAATAGCAACGATTAGCTTTTAGGTAGCGCTTTCCAGGCTGTGTCATTGGCCCATTTTACAGGTGGGAATATTGAGGCACAGAGCAGTAAAGGAGTTTGCCAGTGTCACCCTGCAACTGAGCTGGGATTTGAATCCAGACCTCCTGAGTCCCAGCCCAGTGCTTTGTCTGCTACGATGCGCTGCCTCCCTTACAAGAAGGGCAGACGCCCTGTAATATGGGCACTGGGGATGAGAAGGCGGCAAGACAAAGGCTCTCAAAGGAGGGCTGCAGGTGGAGCGAGGGGCTCATGTCTGCAGGAGGGGGTGGGTGGAGGGTGCAGAGGACAGTAGACTCAGGGAGGAAAGCGGCAGAGGGATTTTGGGGGTGCCCTGGCATGCTCAGAGCAGCTGGGCAGCACCGTGAGTCTCCGTGTCAGATAGATCCATGTGGGAGAGGGTGGGAAGCTGGGGGTCAGGCCGGTGTAAAGGCATTGACAGCCTGGCCCCAGAGAAAGGATGGCAGAGAGGGCTTGGGACAGCGGATGCCAGCTCAGTCGAGGAGTAGCCCGCCTTGCCTCAGTCTCCTGCTGCTTGTTTTCACCGAACGCTAGGAAGAGTCCCACAGAGCCGAGCCTGGGGGGCACGAGGGCAGTGGGGTCCCTGCAGACCTGGGAAGGGGCAGAGAGGGGAGGTGGAAGAGAGAGGGGACAAGTGGAAGCTGGCACCTGATTTTCAGAGGTGCTGGGCATCGGCAGGTCCCTTTGGCTTCAGCTGGCGTAGTGGGTGCTCAGGGCCCGTGTGCTTAGCTGCAAAGAGCTCTGGAGGTGGGAATGAGGAAGCTGCCCTGCTCAGAGACGCATGGTGCTTGCTTTGAATACTCCACCTACGTTGCAGGAAAACCAGTGCTGCTGTCATCTCAGAGCCGCCTTCTCACTGCTCTTCCCCAGCCCTTTCACCACGGGCCCGCAGCGGTCATACACCATCCCTCCCGCTGGCGCTGGCTCGGGTGGTGTCAGTGCCAGCACCTCTGGCCTTGACGTCGGTGTCCACGTGGCTGGGGGTGGAAGGGGCTGTGCATCGTTGTACAACAGGGATGTCTGCCCTGGCTTCTGCTATCAGCACCAAACTTTGCTCATATGTCCAGTCTCCGGCAGACTTTGTTCCCGCCACCTTGGGAGGAGGGTCCGGCTTGGTCTCAGCTCAGCCCTGCTCCTGCCGTTCAGTTTGTGCTGTGCAGGTGCCCCCAGGCCAGTGCTGGTGTATGCTCTGCTCTCTGGGTTTGGATGATCAGAGAAACTCAGACCAAAACTCAAGCCAGGCCCCTGCTGCAGAAGAGACTTTGGTTTGGGGTCCCTGGATTTGCACCTGGAGTCTCGGCACAGGCCTCTCAGCGATACTTCTCGCAAAGCTTTTTTCCAACTCCCTCTTGTGCCTGACTGCTTTCCTCTTGCTTGTATTTCATTCTGGGGAGAGCAGGAATATAATGTTATCCATACTGTGGGCGTCTCAGCTGCAGGCTCCCATCTGCACTCTCAGCTCCATGCCTGGATGCTCAGTCGGGTCAAAGGTCTGCCAAAGCAGAAGGGCTGTACGGACTGGCATTGGCGTGGTTGGCTTCGTGTCTGGTCACTGTGACTAAATGTGCAGGTCCCCATTTACAGCTAGTCCGTCCGGGTCTGGAGCATAGTCACCTGGACATCTCTCTGAAAGCTCTTGTGAAGGATGTCGCTTTGGGTGGATGCATCTTTGGTTGCAGCTGCAGTGGGACTTCATCACATGGTGCGGGCGTGTTGGGATGCTTTCATGAGGGTTGTTTGCCATCAGAGGTCTGGTCCATTGAATGCTGTGGAAAGGTCCCAGTTGACCACAGTGGGCTGCAGGCCCCCATTGCTAGCAGTCAAGCTGCTGAGTAGTATACCAGCTCTCAATTCGCAATTCTCTTTCATAAGAAGCCACTTCAGAGCTGGTCACCACCCCTAGCTGCTTGTGGATCCCTGCGGTGAGGCCCTGGTCTTTGAATGGTTGGCTTCAGACGTGGTCCCCCACTGGCTCAGACTCTCCAGGTGTTGTGTGGCTGGCCAGACCTTGGCTTGGACGTCCAGCACCGTTCTTTCTGAGCAGCTGGCCTTTAGTCAGCTGTGATTAAATCCTCCCTCCCATCCCCTGCGTGGAAACCTGTGCCCAGAATTTACCACGGGCAAGCTGGTGCTTCATGAGTAACGAGCATGCCGCGCTGGAAATGTCAGTGCATATGCCGGTGATGCAAAACTCCTTCATGTCCTCCAGACACCCCTGGCCTAAATCTCGCCCCTTCTTATCTGCCTCACCCGCTGAATGTCCTTGAGGAATTATTTAACACCTCCTGTCCTGTCTAAGTGTAATTGGACGGGGTAGTGAACGTGCATTTCTGACTACAGCACAGACTGAGCGTGGCATAGGCCTTCTACTGCCTGCGATGTTTGGCTAGACTGAGGCCTTACCTGGAGTACTGGGCCCAGTTCAGGGCACCTGATTTAACAGATGTAAGTCCAATAAGAGATTTTGAAAATCTGACCTATGGGAAAAGGGTGAAGGAATTGGGTTGGTTTAGTTTAGAAAAGAGAAGATCAAAGGCGGATGTGCTAGGAGTCTTCCAGGGTGTTTGAGTGCGTTGTAGGTGATGTCAGATGGTTGTTCTCTTGGTCTACCCAGAGCAGGACTGTAAGTCACTGCATAATTGATAGCAAGGAAAGTCTTGGTTAGAGATCAGGAAGCACTTCGTAGCTCTAGGGATGGTGAATCTTCAAAACAGGACTGAAATCCTTGCCTTCGGGGGCTGGCTGTGTGCATGTGTTAAGAATAGATCCCAGAGACCTCTCAGGGAGGGTCTAGGTGCATGCAGTCCTACCCCAGAGCAGGGGGTGGACAATGTGGCACTTGGGCTTCCCGTTCCTAATGGGAGCATGGGCACTTTGGTTTCCTGTTCCTAATGGGTGCACGGGCACTTGGGTTTCCCGTTCCTAATGGGAGCCACGGGCACTTGGGTTTCCCATTACTAATGGGAGCATGGGCACTTGGGTTTCCCGTTCCTAATGGGAGCAAGGGCACTTGGGTTTCCCGTTCCTAATGGGAGCATGGGCACTTGGGTTTCCTGTTCCTAATGGGTGCACGGGCACTTTGGTTTCCCGTTCCTAATGGGTGCGCGAGCACTTGGGTTTCCCGTTCCTAATGGGAGCATGTGCACTTGGGTTTCCCGTTCCTAATCAGGCCACGTTCACTAGCAAGCAGGGAGCAAGGTAAAGCCAGCAGCAGTCGGGGCTTTCCTGGGGCAGCCAGGACCCATAATTAAAAAAGAGAAAGGTGGAGGGAGATTTGTTGGGTGTCCATGTGAGAGAACAGCTCACGCCAGCTGACTTGATGGCATCCCTCTATGTTAGCAGTCCCCACATGTTTTCTACTCAGGAACCTGCTGATAGTGGGGTAATTTTGTGTGGCCCCCGCCCCACGCTCAATTATGCTGCTTGTGTGCTTACAATTTACGGCACCTCTGCTGCTCTGTGGTACCGGTGTTTGTGTCTGCAGCGAGCGGTGAACCTGGGCCCAGTACCCTGAATGAAACAGGGCTAATTAGCTTGGTATTGGCACAGTGACAGCCACTGAAATGTGGTAACACCCGACCCCTGTTAATCGCTTGTGACCCCACTCATAATTGCCATGACCACAGTTGGGGTTGGGACCCCTGGTCTGGATGTGTCCTGGTTTGAGGTCACCCGTGGCCATGGCACAGCTTCTTAGCATCTCTCCTTTCCTTTTCCGCAGGATATGAGGAAACATGTCACCATGACCCTCCTGGACACGGAGCAGTCCTACGTGGAATCCCTCCGCACCCTGATGCAGGTAACGTGGTGCCGACGTGCATGAGAGACGTACGCTGGTGTGGGAGTGGGGATCGGTTGTACAGACGTGTGGCACACCGAGATCGCTCCCATGCCCTCTCCTTGTCCCACATGTGACGTCAAGGACAGGGCACAGGATCCAGGCTAAACACACAGCTCTCAGCAAGAGATGATGGATGTCCGCCATCTAGCCCGCAGAGCTGCACATGGACATACACATACATGGCTCAGAAACCGGGGTGGGGAGAACAGCAGGGCTCTTTGCCTTTGGGAGTGCCTGTGATTTCTCATCTCCCTGAAAGAAGCTTGCTGGGCTTTCACTATACTAAGTATTGCCTGGCACAGTGGTCTTTCATTATTGTGAAGACTGGGCCACATTCTGCCTTTGGTTATAGCCAACATTGTCATCATGGCAGCACAACTGCAATTGAAAATAAATGTTGTAGCTGTCATGAGCGGTCATGGTCCCAGTGGCTGTGGTGACCTCTTGGGTAGCAATGACCAGCCCCAGCAAGGCAGGGACCTTGCCTGGGGCTGCATATGCAGTGAGGAGCCAGTGGAAGGAGCACTACACTGCACCCTGTACCTACCAGCATCCCCTCTGTCTTGTCTGGGTTTAGCCTTAGCTGGGCAACCTTCCCCCAGGCCCCCCAATTCAGAGGAGCATTGAGAAAGCAGGAGATGGTGCTGCTTGCGATGGCTGGAAAGGAGAAACAGAATGGATGGGAACTAGAGTCAGTCCTAACAAACCTCTGGGCTTGTTTGGAGAGGAGTACACTAAGCCACCTGCAAGCATTTCCAGTTATCACGGTAGGGGTTTGGGCTCAGGGAGGCAGAGTAGTGTGCATGAACCAGGAGGAATATGCACATGCCTCCCTGGCTGATGGAGGCCATCCATCAGGACAGTGAGTGCAACTTTTGACCATAACTTGGTCTGAAGCCCAATTAGTGGGTACTGGCTGCAGGTGGATGGCACTGGAGACTTCTCTTCTGGTACCGCCACGAATACCTTGCTCATCACTAATGTCACTTGATACCTTATTGTATCATAGAGGAAAAACTTTCTGACTGGGAGGGTGGCTGAGTATTGGAAGAGGCTACTTAGAGAATTCGTGGAGTCTTCATCCCTGGAAATTTTCGAGGGCAGGTTAGACAGGCACTTGGCTACAATGGTTTAGTCAAGTATACAGGGAGAACATGGTTGAGGTGTCTTCGTACACCTTCAGAGGCGTGAACTTAAGCCTTGCTTTGGACTTGTACCAAACAATGACCCAGGTGTGAATAGGTACACGGTCATTTGGGCTGGGGAGTCAGAATCACAGCATAGAGCCAGCAGGGCCCTTGGGCAGTTATCTAGTCCAACCTCCTGCTCCAGGAAGGATCAGCTGTGTTTAAACCATCCCAGACATGTGTCTGTCAACCAGTGCTTAAAAGCTCCCAAGGATGGAGATTGTACAACCTGTCCGGCTAATCTTTTCCAATGCTTAAACCACCCTCACAGTGTGATTCCTGTTCTCCTTGCTAAATTTCCAGCCCTACTTCTCTATGGTTCCCTTGCTGCAATTTAAGACCATTGCTTCTTGTCTATCCCCTGCAGCCACAGAGAATCCTCTTTTATTTCAAGTAGTCGACAGTGCTATCAAAGGCAGACAGATATGCTTGCTCTGTTGTGTGGTAGAGAACTTGGCGTGCCTTAACTAAGCTAGCCCCAAGGGTTGTTGTGTTAAAAAGGGCCTTTGACCTCAGTACTTCTATGGATTATATGCATCAGCCGCTTCTGCGTGCTAGCTGGAGTTGTTGGCACTGGCGGAGACTCCATGACTTCTTCAAGCTGGTGACCTCCCCTGGGCTCTGGATGCTTTGAATAATTTGCGGTTTGAGAGCAGCTTGAAGGCTCATTGATCTTGCATTCGTTTCTCAGCTGTTGCACCTGCTGTTTGGGTCAGAGCCAAGCAGAGGTAGCTCTCAGAGGGCTCTTGATTGCTGAGTTCATTCAGAAATCCCATGCAGCCCCTGGGCCCAGGAGCAAATACCTGGACTGAGGTGGTTAATGGAGATCAGCATTCCAGCTTGTCACGTCATCTTTGGCAGGGCTGCTCCAATTCATGCCCTGTAGAACGAAGCACCTGCTTACCTAATCTCGTCTAGCTGCAGGTATGAAGAGCTGGAACCGGTAGCCCCACAGTCTGTAGACCCCCTTGCAACAAGACGGGTCCTGAGTCTTTGGTCAGAGCAGGATACATTTGACACTGCCTTATGTGGCAGAGCTTCAGCTGGGGTCAGGCCCAAATCATTATCCAGCCCTGCCTGTACCCCAGCTGCCGTTCTGGGGTCCGGGTAAACCTCGCACAGGACACAACCACCTTCTCCAGGATGCCGGCAGGCCCCTCGCTTCAGAGAGTACACAACAGGGACAGCCCTGGACTGTTGCACTCCTCCGTCCTAGCAGTGAATGCAAAGAGAAACTCCAGTGACTGCCGAAAGTGTCTAAGCAGACTTACAAGGGCGACAAAAATGGGGGGCTGTTCCCTTTGGGACTTTTCATGGGGGATGCAGGGTGCGGGAATGCTTGGTTTTGGGGGCAGGGGGGAAATCAAGCAGCAGCATTCACAGGTCTCAGTTCTAATAAAGCAGCTGGCCAGTGCTGTACACTTAGTAGGACAGTCCCAGCCTTGATGAGCTCTGACTGCAGGTAGGACACATCAGGGGGTGCAGATCTGCGGGTGCTGAGACTGGCATGCCGGAGGCCCATCATCCCCTGAGCAAACCACATAGGGCTGGGATCTTATAGGAGTTAGGCACCTAAAAAGTCTCATACTGATGGGGATAGGAGCCCTGCTGCACCTCACCAGGATGCTGTGAGGGCACGTGCATGAAATGCTGCCCCGTGAGAGCCGTGTGCTTACCTTTGGCATGTGGGATGGGAGACCCTGCAGTCACATAAGCCAGCTGTGTGCACGGCTCCCCACCCTTTGCCCTGTCTGCCCCAGGTAGACTCCAGTCGGATGAATACATGGGCAGATCTGCTCCCCTCTGTCCCAGCTGGGGGAGATCAAGCCCCCCTGAAATGTATGAAATGGGAGAGCTTGGCTCCCATGCAGCCATACTGATACCCAAGGGGTGGGCAGGCACCTGAGGCTGCTCCCTGGAGGGCTGTTCTTTGTTTAGGAGATGCTGGATTTTAGTAGATGGAAAATCTGCTCTGAAAGGCAGTGGAAACCCTGTGTTTTTCAGCAAATGGCCATGGCTCTGCTCAGCCCAGGAGCCGGGAGAAAAATCTCTCGGTTGGAGAGGTTGGACACTGAACGTGAGCCACTGGGAGGGATGGTTGATACACCACGGCTCACCCCAGAGCTCACCCAGGGAGTCTGGGGAGGTTGCCAGGAGAAGCTGCTTTTCCCTGGGTGATTAACAGGCCCCTTGGTCCAGTCACAGCTGCTGTAAATCATCAAATGTTGGCAAGGTGCTTTGGGCGGTCTGTGAGCTAGGTAGCGGGGCTCAGGCAGCCGGATGGAGGGGAAGCATTTATTTCTCTTCCGCTTCTCGTACTGCCAGGGCAGCCCAGTGGGAGTGTCCACATTGACCACACACCAGCCAGGCACCTTCCTCCATGCTCTGTGCTTCTTCCCCAGCATCCCAGCCTTCCCCCTCTCCCCTTCCACTTGCTCTTGCAGATTTTGAGCTTTTTTGTGGGTCCAATTCCCTCATCGGCTGCAGCCACCACCAGCCTTCCAGCCAGGCGGACTCCGAGCGGCAGACTGAGCACCCCCTTACACCCCCTTTCTGTTCATCCAGCACCTTGAATCATTCACCTCTAACCCCTGCCTGGGAGCCATGGGGTGCTACTGTAATATAAGTAGTAGTAAAGGGGGCAGCGGAGGAGGGCTGTTCTCTAATATCCCACCACACCTGTCCCACCCCGTTGTGCCCTGCAGCCTCCTTGGCAGCTGAAATGGGGAGCTCACAACCTCTCCTTAAGGTCCCTTCTAGCCCCAGGAGATCTTCAGGGATCAGTCAGAACAAACGCCCCGACTCCCATTGCGGTTCACAGCAGCTGTTGTGAGCGGCATCCACGGCAGCCGACACCCAGCGTTATCCATTCACCCAAAGGAGAGCTGGCACCTTTTCCCCCTGGATCTCAGAGTACGTCCGTCACCAACCTGTGTTAACAGAGACTCCCAGGGTCTCTGGAAGGAGGGCTGGGGAGCCTTGTGCCAGTGGACCATGGCAGGGTTAGGTGGCTTGCCCAAGGGAAGATGGCAAAGCAGTCTCAGAGCCAGGAACCAAGTACAGGACTTCAGGCTGCTCTAACCATGAGACCACCATGTATTAACTCCAGCCAGGGACAGTGCCAAATGTGAACAGGATGAGGGGGTTATTTGGGCAATGAAAGGGGAGTTTGTTTAGGGCTCGAAACCCAGAGGGAACATGTGGACCCTTGTATACACCACGGTTCATCCCAGAAGAACTTAAAACAACCTGTTTCTAAACAGCTGAACCGAGGGAGAAGGAATAGGATTGCCATGGGAACTGCTTCCCGGTGCGTTCGGTGATGTACACGGCCTTAGGAGCCTTGCTGCAGTCCTAAGCTTTGAAATGAGCCTTGCGCGAGTCTCATCCCCTTCCACTCCTCTCTGCTGTAGGCAGAAGGCTGGGGAGATGGGCACCTTGTAGACTAACTAACTAAATCAGAGATAGATAGATAGATAGATAGATAGATAGATAGATGGATAGATATATATATATAGCCTAAGATTTCGTGAGCTCAAGCTCACTTCATTAGATGCTGTGAAAGGCCATGCATAGTGCAGTGTATAAAATGGAGAGAGTGATTTGAATATGAAAGGCAAGAAGGGAGGGAGGTAGTGGGGAGAGGGAGAAATGCTGGGAGAGGCAAGCGAACAAGCAATAGGGAGAACAGTGTCACAAAATCTAATCCAGGTAACGGGATAAGACTCCATAGTCCCTGTTTAGACCATACTGAATACAGTCCAGTCTGAG